GGTACCGGCTCAGACGCCGATACCGAGGAAGGACGTAATCATTGATGGTATGTCAAAGAGTACCATCTTTTCGTCCATGGATTTGATGGATGGCTTCTATCAAATCCTTATGCGGGAACGGGATACACCCTATACCGCAGTTAGCACGCCTCGCGGCATGCTCTGGGAATGGCTAGTCCAGCCACAAGGGCTCAGTAATGCCCCTGCCACGTTCAACAGATGTGTATCACATCTGTTGAGACCAGTACGAGAATTCGCGCCGAGTTATTTCGATGACGTATTCATCCATAGTCGGGCTATGGATGGAAAGTCGGACGTTGAGGTTCACAGGTACCACGTCCGACAGGTTCTTACAATCATGCGAAAGCATCAATTGTATGCTAACCTCAAGAAGTGTATATTTGCAGCAAGCGAAATACCACTTCTTGGGTGCATCGTTGGTAAGAACGGTGTACGTCCTGATCCCAAAAAGATCAAGGCGATCACCGACTGGCCTGTGCCGGTTGATGTCAAAGGTCTTCGAAAATTCCTTGGGCTAGCGGCGTATTTGCATGAGTATTCACGCAATTACGCCGAGATGACTGTGCACCTCTCTCGTTTGTTGAAAAAGAACGAGAGGTGATTATGGAACGCTGAATGTCAGCGCTCCTTTGATGGAATCAAGCAGAGCTTGATACAATCCCCAGTCCTAGCAATAGCCGATCAGGACAGGCCATTTCATGTGGTCTGTGATGCCAGCAATTTCGCAATAGGCTGTGCATTAATGCAGTACGATCTTGAAGGCGTTGAACGCGTCGTATGCTATCAGTCGCGTCAGCTGCAACCAGCTGAGCGGAACTATCCAGTGCATGACAAGAAACGCCTTGCCATGAGGTGTGCACTCGCGAAGTTCAGAGTCTATCTCTTAGGAGATAGACCCTTCATTGTTTACACTGACCATGCGTCATTACGCACGGCAGTGAACAGCCCGCACCTTTCACAACGAATGGCGCGGTGGTTGTCATTCTTTGCAGAATACAACTTTACGGTCGAGTACAAACCAGGACGACTCAATGTCCTCGCTGATGCACTCTCACGTCGTCCCGACTATAAACCAGTCGTGAAACCCGACAGTGAGACAGCCACTGTTGCGGTTATGACGTCCTCAGTCCCATCTTCACCGTTGAATGATGATGTGAGGCGGGCATACGCCCAAGATGGTGAGATTGTGAAGTTGTTGACACATCTCTCACAACCATCTCGAATCGTTAAAACGATTATCGTCTGCGTATCGATCTGCATCAGATCGATACACTACTCGCAACGGGTTACTGTATTATACAGCCGTTTCTGGTGATGCACCACGTGTTGTCGGTCCAGATGATACTGATCTGCGTTTGCGGATCATGTTCGAGTATCACGATGCTCCTATAGGAGGACATCGTGGCCGAGAGAAAACATATCTCACGGTGAGTCGAAACTTTTACTGGCCCCGCCAGTATCAGTTTGTGCGAAAGTACGTTCGCGCATGCTAAGTCTGCCAACGAGTGAAGTCAAGTCCTTCACTGCGTGCACCTTTACAGCCTCTACCGGTTCCGGCTGAGTGCTGGGAATCCATCTCAATGGATTTCGTCTTCGGGTTACCCAAAGACGCACGCGGGAATACGGGTATTCTCGTATTTGTTGACAGATTCAGCAAAATGGTACACCTAGTGGCTGTACCAGAGTCAATCACGGCAAGTGGATGTGCTTGTGTTTTTATCGACACCATCTTCCGACTTCATGGGTTGCCCCGTGAACTCGTATCAGACAGAGATCCAAGATTCACTGCTGATTTCTGGCGTTCCGTGTTCAAATCACTCGGAACGCGCTTGAAGATGTCGACATCTGATCATCCAGAGTCAGATGGTCAGACGGAACGTGCCAATCGTGTCCTCGAAGTATCTCTTCGAGGACACGTACACTCCCATAAGAGTTGGATTGAGTTTTTGCCAATGGTAGAGTTTGCCATTAACAACTCGGTGCATGTGTCCACGAAACATACACCGTTTTACGTGAATGGCTTGCGCCATCCGCGTGTACCCACCTTACTAGAGTGTAACTCCGGTTTAAGGGGGGGAGGGACTCGCGCGAGCAAAAACCGATTTGGTTCACGCTCATCACGCTCTGACGAAGAGGTCATTGCGTTTGATGCCGATATCGATAACATCGATATTGAAGAAGATGATGCCAGTGAGAGTGCGGAAGCCCTCACTGAAGAAAAGCTTGATGTTTCTGCAGTGCGCTCACAGCGCACTGAAGCTAACGAGTCATCAGATGAGTTCATACTGGCTCGTGAAACGGTAGTCCGTTTTGTGCAAGACTCCATCGCCGAAGCGGTGGATAAGCAAAAGCAAAACGCTGACAAGAATGGAAGGGCAAACACTCTTTTATTTAATAAAGGTGACTTAGTACTACTGTCTACGGTTAATCTACCAAAGCATGTAGTGACTAACTTGGGTAGCAAAAAACTACTACCCAAGTACATCGGCCCATTTCGTGTATTGCACCGCCTAGGCAATGCATACACGATCGAGTTACCACGTAAGATGCGAACGCATCCCATGTTTTACGTTGGTCGGCTTAAGCCGTACCATCAGTACGCTGCTTCTTCCGATGAAGAACGCCCTTGCGCTCAAGCATCTCGCAGAGAGCCTTGTGCTCCCGATGGTGGGCATCGACAAGGGTCTGAAGAGCAGCTATCTCATCCCGAGACCGATCAACAATCCCACGAGCTACCCTTAGCTCGCCACGCAGAGATGTCAGAGCTCTCTCGTTCTCAAGCTGAGCAAAGGCAAACTCAGCTCGATGCTTCGAGACAGTGTCCGCCAGTTGGAGACGCCTGTCCCGCTCATGTTCGAGATCGCCGCGTAACCCTTGCGTTACGCGATCAAAGAAGCTCTCGGGAACACACACTTCCTCACGATTTTGTGAAGAGCGTTTTCCCTCCTCCTCCACATCCATTAGAGGGCTCTCGCGGTGGCCAGCGCTATCTAGTTGAGCAGCTGTTGAACCACCGCGACGTGAACGGACGTCGGACGAGTTATCTCGTCCGGTGGCGCGGCTATCCCCCGTCCTGGGATACTTGGGAGCCCCGCTCCCAACTGATGGTTGACGTACTGGGTCTGGTTGAGCAGTACGACGCGGCACATCCTGTGCCGCAGAAGTACCGCCGGAGAAAGTCTTCCCGGCACGTTCGTAAAGGGATTTCAGGTTGTCAATCCCTTCGTACATCTCAGTAGAGATACGTACGCGCCACCACGGGCTAGAAAGGAGGTAAGCCTCCTTAGGTGCTCGTGCACACAACATGGGCACGAGTCTCCCCAAGAGAGGCAGAATCATCCTTTCTCCCTTGACAGACGATGCAGCTTGTAGCGTGCACCTGTCGGGGTTCGCTTTTCAAACTTATCACGAGCTTTGATAAGTTTGTCGTTCCAAACGTCACGACCTACATCCTTAAGGTTATGGATGTAGGCGTTCCACGCTTGAAGTAGTGAGGGACCATCACGCTTGTGATTCCCACTGTACCATCAATGTCTAAAGAAAGCATCGATGAAGAATTCATTCTCAGCGTGATAGTTTTTCGCGCTGGGGTCAAGGTGATGGATCCTTGACGAATCGAACAACCGTGTTCGATAACGATCACTCGTCGTCGCCGACAAGTGATCCATGACGGATTTGGGAGGCATCCATGCCTTCTTCTCGGGAGCGAGACGCAAGACATTGCGGTCCCGCTCTTCCTGCGATGTGCCGACAGAAGGACTGGCACCTCGTTGCGAAGTGGTGTCCATAGGAGAACCGACACCACTGTTAGCGCCCGAGTCTCGCGACCTCGAGCGCCTTCGCTTCGGCGATGGTTCATCTGATTCATCAGATGAACCAAGGATGCTGAGACGCATAGCATCATCCATACCACGCTTGGCAGACGGCTTGGATTCGATCGCCGTCGATACGGATCCGTCATCCGTATCAGGAGAGTATGAGACTCCGAGCTCATACTCTGTGAAGACATGAGTGTCTTCATGACCAGCGCCTGCAATCACCGAGTGACACAGGCTGAGTCGCTTCAGCAACCGATGAGACATCAGTTGCTGTGATTTCTGCTTCGGCGTCCGCACAAAGTGTGCAGACGCGCTCTCAGCGGCCTTGCTCGCGCACCGCATGGCTTGTTAACCATGCGATGAATTGTTGGAAAGTGGACTCGGACCAACAAGTGCAAACCCTGTCCCAAATGATTTGGGACGAGTATCCATTTAGTCAATCAGTCACTAAAGTGACTGATGGTTAAGGGGGGGGTGATGTAACGGGGTGAATCGTTACATAACAATTTATAAGAAATTGTTAATAGAATATAACTATAAGAGTTAGATTCTCAGAATACTGTCATAAGGACAAATATTCTGTAGCACTTACGAGTAGTTCCTAATTGGTTGATATAGGCCATTATATCAACCAACGAAGACGCGCCTCGACAGACGCACGCAATGAGTGGTGAGCAGATAGTTGATATACACATTTGTATTTAGACATAGTTAGATGAAGATAAACAGTGATTTATTAACAGGCATTAACTATGATAAATACAGTTCTACTTTTTACTCTAACCAAGTACTTGCTTCTTCCTACCGTCTTCCTCTGCACGTACGAGTGTACGTGAAGTTCCGAGGCACCGCCTTATTCTGTCATCAGAATAAGTAGCTTGTACTGTCACCAGCACAAGCTTCAGGGTGCCCCGTTACATTTGATCCACGAGGGACCTGCAATCAAACCGATCAGATTGATGGCAATGTAATCGAATTAGTTGCAGCTCCATTAGGTAAGAGCAGTCATTAATATCGTTCGCAAAGGCTCCCACCAAACTTAGCACGCCTTATACTTTCAATACAGAAGACAGGTCAGGTATCAGAATCGTGAAGCGAAGGCAAACGAATAAGCTCTTGCATACCATCCAGAAAGCTTTATTTTAGTACACAACGACATCATCACGTAATTTGCTTTGCAAGCCTATTCTCGTAGTAAGCCATGTACTTATCCGCGGAGATACGGGATATCATTCTGGGCATCTTGAAAGTCTGCTTCACAGGAATGGATAGCTGCTTGAGCAAGCCTTCCTTCGAATCAATACCGAGGCTTATCCAGTAGTCAAACTGTCCTTTTTGCAAACTCTCGCCTATTGCTATTGCTATTGCGCTGCTCGTGCTCCACTGCACCATCTCGATCAATGTAGCAGCTTCCGGCTCACCGAGTGCATTTCTAAAAACCACATACTTACCGTCTGTAAGCGAATCTTCACCCGGCTTTGATGAGGCGTGATCAAGCCAAGCCTTGAACCGAGCGCTTAGAATATACTCAGCCACGGCCTGTGTATGGGTATGTAAAAGCTTTTCTTTTACCTTCAGCTCCGCCCTAATCATCGCAGTTTCTTGCTGTGCGACGGATTTAATGCGAGCATTTGCCAACTGTGACAACACACTACTGGCTCTTTTCGAACAGTCGAGAGCGTCTTCCATTTGCGTCACTTCCGTAGCAACGACAGAAAGATCCCCATCAAGTGGGCTGGAGTGAAGTCCCAGTATCTCAAAAGCCTGCTTGGTCGAGACATCCGCGCCAAAGGTATGCGGGAGTAAGCTTTCCGTCAGAAGTAAGTCCACTTCCGGCGCATGATGGACAAAGCCTAGAAACCCATTGAGCGAAAACATTCGTGCTTCTTCACTGTCCTTATCAGCTCCATCCATCGTCCGCAAAATCCGAGCACGGTCGGACGAGACACCAAATGTGGCCGTTGCCGACGCCTTTCGGACTCCGGACGCCGCAGAAGACGAAACGACAACACAAACCGCGACGGCCACGGCGAGCGTGTCGATAGAAAAAGCGATTCGCATGGGATTCACACGGTTCTAGACGACCTCTTCGTCGGGGAGCTCAAAACGGAAAGTGGGCTGTTTGAAGAGTCTGGCAAGCAGATGGGATGATGCATGCTGCAAGTTCAAGTGCGCACTCACGTCCAACAATATTTGGACCAGACCCACTTTTAATTATCCCGATTCTGCTCGTGTTACCTCTATTAATTTATTTAAAATGGGCTGCAACACTTTTACACAGTCTTACCAGAAATTTACCCATCGCCCTCTGTATCACTGTGCATAAAAGCACAGCGGTCTCTGAAATCAGGCAGCCTACGCAAGTCTGCGCCAACACGAACTTATACGTCAGAAACGTGTAAAACACACGGCGTTAATCAATATATTTGTGTTGCCCGGCACTGCCTTTAAAACGCGATCGAGAGTCGTGGGAACTTAGCCTTTCAATTAATGAAGACGGTGATTATGGACGGTGCCCCTGCGCGCATCAGCAGGTATACTTGCACTTTTTTGGTTCCCATTGAGATAGCGAGAACCACCAATCGAGGTGCTTCTATGAAGAGTGTTGTCGTGGCTACTACAGCAAAGTGTATCAAAAACCACTGAAACAACTGACATCACGTTCACTCGTATCGGATGTAGCATTATTCAAGTCTATAGTTGAATACAAATTGCTCAAACACGTATCCAACGATCAGGACTCGACTGAAATCAGCTTGCCTAGCGCTGCGACAGTCCGTTTACCCATGTATAAACGTAGTCCCTTTCGTTTCGCATCACAATCGACGCAGCGGGGCCAAGATTCTTCAGCTGTTAAACAACTCGATACCGCTACGGTTTTTTGGTACCTCGAGTCCCTGTGCTTGTTCACCATTCGATGCGCACCGTGAGCTGCAATTAGAGCGCTTAACAGTCTACTATGCTTTATACCCAGAAGATAGGTACGCTCATATTTTGGCAGAAAAGCGACACTAATTTCAATTGATTTACCTCTACGTCGACAGTTGCTCTTTCACCAAGGCAAGTTCTGTCCTCTCGCGCCGAAGCTCAGAATAGCACTAGCGGTCCAGTCATAAATGAAGCAAGGACCTTATTGCCAATCGCGGATTTGACGCATCATTCTAAGTCCATACAACAGTCGGCTCCCGTTGTAGCTAACGACAACGGCTTATATTGTTGGCGCATGGACCCAAGTGCATGCATCACGCTTCGTAAATTCGAAACTTTGTTGATCGTATCACTTTCCATCAGGTCTTTTCTCATGTCTGTGTAAGCACGACTGTCATGCTGCAAGTAGCTATCATCCGGCAAATTCCATGACGGTGAATAGTAGCAGCTACAGTATCAACTGCTTACATACAACGCCAATTAGAACGAGCTCGACAATGAAGCGCAGCGTCGCCGAGCCTCAGACTCAACAGTACCATAGTTGGCGAACGCGCCAGTTGCTTGACTCATTGAGAATCCGGAATTTCGGACGACGTCCTTACGTCTAGATAGACCCATCTCTGCATCGCCATCATAAGCCAGGTGGTAGGTCGCCAGGACTGGAGTGATGACGATTAAAAGGATGTCAGAGCTGATTCGAGATAAGTCGATTATATGTGTTACGACGCGTTCCAGTGTGTATCCCCCATACTCGGTTATAGTCAATCTAAAGCCGTGCCTTGACGGTTTCTTTTCCCGCGACAAATGTAATGGAGGTGCAACCTATATATTCGTATTCATAGGACCGCAGCTACGTGTGCACCTAGCGAGAGTACCACATATGAGTGGCATTCAAATAATATAGAGGTGCAACACATGTATTTGTACTCAATGACCGCAGCTATGTGCGCACCCAGCGATAGCACCAAATACTAGTGGAATGTGTCTGTACGCTGTCTGGGACGATGCCGTTTGTACGAAATTGTTTCAATTGATCGCTCTTCGGATTACCTGATGGCAACAGTTGAGAATCTATATTAGTTGTTTACTGGACAACAACACCGCTATCGGATCCAGAGACGGTCGAGTCGGGTAGAATTCCCAACTTGTCTTTCAGATTAACTACCATCTGTAGTACGGCACCGTAATACCAACGACCATAATTCCCACCATCACCAGAAGTAGCAAAACTTGAATGGTGTACGCCCCGAACGCCATTGAAAGGATGACTCTTTGCCTCCTTCGTGTCATCCTCCGTTCGGGTGATCAATTTGTACAATATACAAGATTGAGAACGAAAATGTATACCAAACGGAGGTTTTCACTCCTAGCTTTGTCATCGATAGTTACGCACATTTACTTCGATCTCTTCCAATTGATCGTGTTGATGTAGCAAATTGTCGGCAACATTCGCCGCTGCAAGGTGTGTCAGGCACCAAACGTGTTTTTAAATAAGCAAGAAGTGTCATTGTATAACATTTGTATCGATGACTGTCATGTGGACAAGGCTACGTTTCGCTTCATCTGAATGACACCCAGTTCTGATAAAAGTGAAGTATCAGCGTGCTGTACCTTCAAAAGATGCTCTCGGTACAACGAACTAATCTATGCACGCGGCAGAACTCTCCAGTTGCTTAGTATGCACCATCGCAATCAAGCATTTAAGCATTCGATGTGTTGACATTGGGTCCAGCTCAGCACAAATAAAGTCATCTAGGCACGCAAAATGTTCCGTGGAAATTCCACCCATCGACGACTGAAGACTTCTTCACTCGAGCAGCTTTCATACGCAACTCTTTCACATAAGACGTTTTCGATGCGGACAATTTGGTTCAGCATCGAAGCACTTACTCCATCATTTTCTTTCTTCGTTATAGAGGAGGGCGAGGCTAGTACTTACTTTACATTTGGCTATCTTGTGCTGCGAACGCGTCAAACATTTTTCGGACAACTAATCAGCTGAAGTTTTAATTTATCCGTCATAAGCTCTATACAGATTTTTACAGGTGCATTGTTTGTAGGGCTTCCTTGAACTAGATGTAGTGCTAAGCCCAAGCTGGAGGAGGTAACACCAACTGTAAAGGGTGCCGACGATATGAGAAAGAGTGTGCTTGGACATCCGACAGCAAGTGCGCCTTATTTGGGAGCTCTAGCAACTGGTGCGGCGACTGCAAGCATTAGTTGGCAAATGTCAGTTTGGGGACATGCATTATCGTTATCGTCTTTCGTCGACTGCACCATTAAATTCTGCATCTGATGCCAAGACAGGCTGGGGTTCGAAAACGAGAAGGGAAAACAAGCCAGAACTCAAGACTGAGACGGCCCTTGTTCGAAAAAACACAACGGAGTAGTGGCAGATTAGTTCAAGCTGTCGGACAAAACCCGACGTCTGAGTGCCTAGTGTCGGCACAAGCTGATGTGCGTGCAAGGCAAGGAAATACCAGGCAACGACATAGTTTACTTAAATGTCAAGCTCGCCGCGTTCTCACGCAGGCGTCACGTGCGATTGCTGCTAACACGACTTATTGGGCAGCGCCCATCGTTGGTGCACGTGGGCCTGTACTAGCAGAGAAGATTGGTGCCGCTTGATAGCCACAGAAAGGTCCTAAGATAGTGCTTAACGAACAGAAGACAACATGCTTGCAACCGATCAGCTGACTCCACAATTCAGCTTTGTACCCTTCCGCTGATGAATAGGTTGATGCATGTGATGTGCAAGTAAGCCCTCGCCAACTCCATTTGGGCACACAAAGGGCGTGCAAACACTTAGTTTAACTCGAATGCAGCAGAAATTCTGCGCTCAGCGAGCCAGGATCTCTCGTTGCGCTTTTGGGATGTAAATACAGGGAAAATATCACGTGTGGAGCGCAAGCTGGATGACATTGCATGAAATAAATCGCTTATAACAGTGATGGTGCTCTGCTATCTACAGCAAGCCGCTGAAGCTACTCTAAAAATTTCACATAAGCTAGTTTACAGGTGACATACAGGGAACTAAAACGAGGTAGCAGGATCTCAACAAACTCTGCACCTTTAAACTTCTGTATACAGCCTAACGTGAATAGAATTTTAGTGATTAGCTAATTAGCTGTCCGTCAATACGTTTGACGCGTTTGCAACACAAAATAAAAAAAAATCTTAATGCATGCTGTAGAACCTGAACATTGATGATGCTATGACCTCTTTTCTTGATAATTTTAGAAGTAATTAATAATAACATGTTGTAGCACTCCTCCAAATAATTATGTTTTTTTCTCTTTTTAGAGGGCTGTTTGAATGAAAGTAAGGCCTATTTTATAAAAGGGGCTTGTAGCTCAGCCAGTTTGGTATGGTAGCGCCAACCCAAAGGTCACTGGCTCAATATTGGTGAGAGATATAATCGAGAAAGTTAAACCATCGGGCCTGGTGTTTGAAGTTCACCAGAACTGTCCTGCCAGGCAGTGACGTCTCCACATTACGTAAATTTAGGTGTTGTGAACCTCACTACCAGACTTGGATACGTTCGACTAGACGAATAAGTAATTCGCGATGTGGCAATTAATATCGTATAGGCTAAAAAATCTGCAGCCATATATGCCAACAGGATTTTGGAACTTAGGAATTGATTGGATTTAATTTGCATTTTACATTTTAATGCTCAGCTTAATTCTTTCGGTCTTTTTTATAATTTCTCTAAAGAAGCTCAGCAGCACATCAACAACGCCCCTGAGAGGAGCTCGCCACGCCACAATGACGGACGATGTCAGTGTAGACCTCTGCAAACATAATGCCGATAATCCGGCACTGACTCAGGCTCAGCATATCAACGAGCTACAGGACAATCATCGGCTAAGGGTCAGCCAGGCAACAGTCTCCATCACGCTGAAGAGGAAGGCCAACCTCCTTCGGTTCAGAAGTAAGCAACATGAGTTTTACGCGTCAGTGTTCATTCAAGTATTTTCTGATGGAATCAGCTCTGCTTGCCAGGTTTATTGCCCACCAGGATCGCATCAATCTCAACAAATACCTTGTCTGTGAACACGCCGGTCGTATCTTGGGTCGTCTTTAACCAGGAAATGGGTCGATTTCAGTTTTCGGATGGATCACTAAAATTA